AGCTCCGTGTGACTTCTTCCTCTTCCCAAAGATGAAAATTCAGCTAAAGGGAAGGAGATTTGAGACGATAGAAGAGATTCAGGCAGAATCGCAGATGGTGCTTGACAGGCTGACAAAGAAAGATTTCCAGGGATACTTCCAGGCTTGGCAGCGGCGCTGGGATCGTTGTGTTCACTCCCAGGGGAACTACTTCGAGGGTGATGGATGAATTTAATACCTGAGATAAGTGTACGGGTTTTTATACGCGCAGTCTGGAAACTTTCCGATCGCAACTCATAAATGAATGCTGAGTAATGTTCTGAAACATGAAACATCTACTTACACCCACATTCTGAAATTCACTGAATACAATTATCATCAGATCGCTTAAACGCAACTTCTAAAGATGTTACCGTGACATTCCAAAACATAATGACACAATAACTTAAATAAGTCCAAAGCTACGTAATCATACGATTATGCATTTATTCTGTAGCAGAAAGAGACTAACTGACAAAGCACAAGAATGGAAAATTGCAGGGGCGATGCGGCTAATCTCCACTTTATTTGTGGAGGGAAAATAAAAAAAGTGAATTTTTAAAAATCAGTTCATACATTGCATTTATAATTTAATTTAAAAAGCGCAGAGTTTGTTTCCTCTAAATTACAGAGGTTTTCCTCCAATTCAGCACTTACCTTCACAAAGTTATCTTCACAGTCTAGTGTGGGCATGTCAATATCAGCGAATGCAAATAAAATGACAAAATTTTTGTCAACATCTATCAGCCATTGGCAGTCAAGGTTGTTATCGTAGTTGCCAGGGTAGTTGGGGGAGTGGATACTACCCACTGGCATGGTGAATTTTCCCCCACACTCTGTGATTCAAAAATAAAAAAAAATATGTACAGAAAATTATATTCATTGACTTATAACAACGAAAACGTAATGTAGTATTTACTGTACTTAAATTTTACTTAACAGAATAAATGTTTACACAGACAATCATAATACCAAGACATTTCACCTTAGTCAAATTGGACATTGAAGGTCTCTAGAAAAATATACTCTGTAGAACTATGACTTGCAAGATCAATTTTCTGATGAGCACTTTAACTTTCATTACATGCGCACTGAAATAAATGTTGGCATATTTCTCAGCATGGCTCATCAAATAGAAACCTATAAATTATATGAAATAATTATGGATGAAATTTCATGCGGGAAGTCTACGCTAAATGTGGTTGGGTATATTTAATTCTGAATTTGACTATTCAATGGAACCCTATTTAATATAAAAAAATAAATTTATATAAAACTGCTTAAAATAAAAGACCATACATGTAAGTAAGATGTATTAATTCTTTTGTGCCCTAACAAATTTAATAAACTACATATACAACATAAATAAGCATCATAACAAGAATGTTTTAAAAGAAACGCTTTAAATATATTTCTACCATGACAAGACATTTTGTGGTTCAACATTTTTCTTTGCCCACTCTATGCCAGATTATTGCTTCTGTACATTGCTAAATGTACATAATTCTGCTTTCATAACCTTTACTTCCATTAATATGTTACGAACCAAATGTCACAGAATCTGAGTTCTACCTAGTTTCTAAACACCATGCATCAAATTTTAGTTAATTTGTTCATAACAATGCTTATTTTTTTTTACAGTGAAAGGTTGTTAGCCTTACTGCTGGGAGACCTAAACGTAGATGGGAGGATAATCTCAGGCAGGATCTATGGGAGATAGGAGTTGAAGGAGACTGGATTTTGTTGGCCCAGGACAGGGTCCGGTGGAGGGCTTTGGTTAATTCGGTGATGAACCTTTGTGTTCCGTAAGCCATCTGGTTGGTTGGGTCCACTATTTGGGAAGCCTCAGGGGAAGAGACCTCTGGGGAGACCTAGACGTAGATGGGAGGATAATCTCAGGCAGGATCTATGGGAGATAGGAGTTGAAGGAGACTGGATTTTGTTGGCCCAGGACAGGGTCAGGTGGAGGGCTTTGGTTAGTTCGGTGATGAACCTTCGGGTTCCGTAAGCCATCTAGTCAGCTAGTTTATGTATCAAATTTTGAAATCCCTAAATCTGGGAACACGGAGACAGTATGTTATTTTGAAATCTGGTAACCACCTACAAGAGTGCAGTGTCACAAACCAGCAATAAAATATATAACAAGAAGATGCTCAATGAACAGCAGATGGCATATTATGTTTACTGTCTACGGTGTCACCAGTGAATTTATGAATCCTCCTATTGTCAGATTTGTCAGTTTGCCCCACTTGGACATATGCTGGAGTGCAAGCAGTAGAACTTTCATATGAGTTGTAGTCTTGGAAGTACGTGTTTGCCTGGCCAGTTGGTCATTCAGTTAGAATGCTCCCCATGAGCTGCTTGGAGGGGTGAAAATGGGGGTTGCTCCATTACGCCATTTTCCTCCCAGCTTATTACATCTGAATACAACTATTTAATCTGAATTATTCTGTGTAACAGTCAGTGTAAGGAATTAATTCAGTCTCATCCATGTTGGCTGCTTATATTTTGGTATTCCTGCTCATAAACGTGTCAATATACAGAGTGATTCAAAAGTCTCCATACATAGGGAAATCACCTAAAGGAATGCATTCAAAATGCAATTACGCACATAACACCAGATGTGTTAACACGAGTTCACCATGAGTGGGAGAGACGTATCCGTATGTGTTTTCAAAGGAATGGTAACAATGTAGAGCAAGTTTTGTGAATAAAGTGACAGTTTATAAAAAAAAGTGACCATTTTCTCTATGTATGGAGACTTTTGAATCATCCTGTAGTATCTTGTCCTATAGCAGAGTGGAATGAGAGTGACTCAGGAACTGAATTATGACAGACCACAGTATATTATATTTTAGTGGTTGAACCACTAAGTTAGCAGATTCTATCATCTAATCAAGGCATAATGCAATTCCCAGCCAACAGAACTGGAATATACAATAAAAAATATGTTTCAATGATGATCTTCTGGGTTGTGATGCTATGTGGATGTGTAGGTAGTGACAAACGTACAAGTCAACATAGAATTGCACCAAGAAGATTGTCATCAACAGTTTAAAAGTTAGAGAACCACAAATCTCACCAGTTACTTCAAAACAGGCAAATCCAAATAATGTAGATGCCTGATTTCATTCTTAATAATATTTTTCCTTCCTCACCATTACACAGTTAACTTGTTAAACATGACAGTAAGCCATATGATGAAATAGCATCCTAAAAAGATTAAATCACATTGGATAAGACTGATAGGACTTACGGAGGAAACCGCATGATAGAGACGATAACATACTGTGATTTTTTGGAAACATGATGATTGACTTACTTGAGTTCACTGTTTTGTAAGAAGCTTTAAATCCTTTTCCACCATATACAAAACCAATTTTTAATCTCACAAACATGGAATTGCCACTGGATGTCAAAACTACATTTTTAGAGGGATGGCACAACTGGGAAAGCTGCAGACCTGAGTCATCTGTCCCAGAGTAGATCTGAAACATATTACTGGAGACATTATCTACCATATTTACAGGCAACTCTTGGTTTACGAACGAGTTCTGTTCCAAGATGTTGCTCGTTATATGTTTTTGTTCGTTATGTGTATCTTGCGTTCCCGAGCTTTTACGATACGTATCGTACACGTTAGCAGCCATTTCAAAGCATTAAAACCATGTACTAAACATTGAATGGTCTATACAACTCATTTACAATACAATATATTACAATAGGGGGAATCACCGATTTCGTTTCCACGAGAAAACATTCTACGAGCCGTGGCATGTAAACCAATGATTTTTTCACTGGCTAAATTAGTTTTATTAACCAAGAACAGTTCAGTATAATTATCATATAATAATTTTCTGATAACTATTGTAATAAATACATTTTTTAAAAGTTTATTTATTTAAATCTTACAATTATGTTCACTATGCGTTTGGCATTTCGTTTTATAAGGAACTCCATCTACTGGCGACTTTAAGAAATTTTGAATGAATTGTGACGTTCGTTATTGCGAATGTTCATGAATCAAACGTTTGTAAACTGAGAGTTGCCTGTACTTTAAAATAAGACACAATTCTTTCCTGCATCACTGTCTGTAAAAACTGAGAATTTTCTTAAAACCACATACACACATAAGCACAGTGTATGCACATGCGTATAAAAATTACATTAAAAGTGTTAAAAGTGAATGTTCTATGGATTTAAATGAAACTCATAAAATTGTACTGGACATACCTAAATATATGTAAGAATTTGTAAGAAATATTTACAATGCTGTTGGCAGCATTTTATAGGTTTGTAAGCAAACGGAGTTAGTGAGGAGTAAAAATTCTTCATGTAAAGTTTACTGTCATAGTGTTACATACTGCCATATTTCTCTAGTCTATACCATAAGTGCAATAAGTCTCTAAAACTTTTTACGAAACCATTTACAGTGGAATCCTGGCCTTAGGTATTGAATTTTGCAGAATGGGACAGAAAGTTCACGAGAGCTAATTCTGAAGACTGACTCTAATGAAGCAATCTCATATAACAGTGAAAGTCAGCGTCATGAAGACACTGTGACTGGAAGCAAGATACAATTTGGTCATGACCACAATATCCATGGAATTCTTATGGTGTCCATCCATCCTTTCACTGAAAATCTCAGTGGATTGAAGATGCAAGAGGCACTCCATTGTAATACAATTACTAGATACAGCCCTGTTTTAAAAATGTGGTCAGCCCCATAGTATGGGTGCTTAAATACCCTATTCCTGTATGATAAAGGTTAAGTCTTAAAACTATAAAGCTGATAATTATATTATATGTTGTATCAGTAATAAAGCAGAAGCATAATTTTGTAATGTAAAATGCGCCAATAAACATATAAAATTTCAGTTTTTGAAGCAATGCATCATTCAGAGAAGCTATTTAGTTCAGTAAACTCACAGTCACAGAGCCACTATAACATTCTGAAGTTTGGCTTAAGCTGAAGTCCTCAACAGTCAGCTCCACACTGTGACCCCAATCCACTGTAATTGTCCATTCACAATCTGTGTTATCAGGAAAATTTCGAGGATAGCCAGGTGACGTTAACTGTCCAAAAGACTTCTTCAGGTTACCACCACAGCCTGGTAACAACAATAAATTACATACAAATAAAGAATCTTGGTCCTGCGGAATACTACAATGAAGAAATCCACGACTATGAAACATAATATGTTACAGGGAAAATAGGATTAAAGTATCTTAGGAAATAACATCTTCAGAACTAGAAAATCACACATATATGTATACATTAAACAAAAGTACAGAATATGAGACAGTGTGCAAGGAACAGTAATCAATTTACATATATACTAGCATGTCGCCCTCGGTGGACTAGTGGTTAGCGTGCTCGCCACTGGACCCAAGGTTCGGGGGTTCAGTCCCGGCCGGGGTTGATAGATAAAAATACGTAGGAAAATTTCTTTTGGAGGGGAAATAAAGCTGGCGGTCCCATGTTAAAGATTTATAGCATGTAAAAGAACCTTACGAGCAAAATACGAAATGTTTCATAGGTAAAATTCAGCGGCAATTTCTCATCCAACCCTCCTGATTTACTGCTAGATGGCTCTGGTAGTCAAATCAGGATTGAATAGAAATTGTGCAGAGTCAGTGGGCTGGTCACTCACTACTCATAAATGCACGTTTCAAAAGACCAAGAATACTCCTAAGTGGGGAGGTCACGGCCAGAAAACAGGCCGAAACACCATAGACGATGATGATACGAGGCTCGTCCTTAAAGTAAGTTTCCTGGGGCCGTTTACAGAAACAAAACACAATTTCATGGAAATATTTATTGCAACAGATACAGCAAGTGTCCAGCTATTTTTCAACATATTCGCCACCGGAATTGAGACATTTGTCATACCGTGGGACCATCTTTTGAATACCTGTGTCGTAGAAGTCTGCCGCCTGGGATTGGAACCACTGTGTGACAACCATCTCCGCCTCTCTGTCATTCTCAAAACGCTGACGCTGACCGGACAGGAATTTCTTGAGGTGTAGGAAAAGATGGAAATCACTGGGAGCGAGGTCCGGGCTGTAGGGTGGATGATTAAACACCTCCCAGCTGAACTCCTGCAGGAGACTTGCTGTCCGTCGAGCCGTGTGCGGCCTAGCGTTATTACTGACCGCACTTCACAGTCGGCGGGAGCTGGAATAAGAACCTCCATCTTCAACAGCTGCAACGATGCTAATGTGAGAACGCGGGAAGTACCGTTAGTGCATGCGCCATGCTACGTCATTGCTCTATCACGTACGCACAGTCGCTTCGCTCAATATAAGGTTTGCTAGCTGTGGGACGAGTGGGAAACTTACTTTTGGGACGCGCCTCGTATATACCAGCATAGTATGACCCATCAAACTTGATGGTAATGAACCTTTTCTGTGCTGAAAAGTAGCACAGTTTATTACAGCATTATCTTGCAATCACACTAAAAGCACAAGAGGTGCATTTGTTATCTTATGATCAGCCCACATATAAATACAAATTTGTATCAATATAGTTCTGGATCATTTACCAGTGTGAATCAGTAGTTTAATTGTGTCCTTTTAGATAAAGTTATTGAAATATACTTTATAGCTTTATACTTAATGTTTAATTGAAAGTTACACAGTATAGCCAAAAACAAGGAAGCAATTCCCACTGACAAATGTTGGCTGTTACGAGAAGCCGTAAAAAAATATTTATAAAACAAAGGAATGGGGCCCTTTTGACAGCAAAATTTATGAAGGTTATATGGCCAACCTCCTAGAGTAAACTGACATTTTTTTCATGGATCAGACCCCAACGCAATGATCACAAACTATGTTACACGATGTATTATATTTTACGTTGGGCCAACTACGGATACCATTACTGTGTCTTATAAGACATGATGGTCCTTTAACCCTTTGCCGCAGAGATTTAAAGTCCGAGCTTGGCGTAATACGTTCTTAGCGTCCCTTTAAATTTTGCTCTAAAATACTATATTTATCATAACTTTGGAACTATATGAGATATAATTAAAAAATTTTCACTGAAATCCTCTTAAAAGATGGTTTTATTATCTTACTCTATATTTAATGTCTATTATTGCACTGTCGGTGTCCGAACTATACTCACAGTCACTTTCATCCAAAACTTCTTCTAGAAGTGCACGTCTTTCTGCTTCTGTAAGTATGTGACTAGACGAAGAGACATCCATGATGAGAATGAGAAGGTCAGGATATTATTTTTAGATTCCCAGGTAGAACTCAATGGAATGTGGCGGTGTTGCCATATGTCCACATACAGTTATCTTTTCAGAACAAAGCAGTGCAAACCGCATTCCGCTGGCGTTATTCGTTAAGAAGTTATGGGCTACAAAAATTAAGCTTGCAGCCGACGTACACTGTACCGATATCCACTAGGGGGTATTTATGCCTCACGAATTTTCACGTCGGTCCGCGCGGAGAGGTTAAAGATTAAGAATATGTTCACCATATATTTCTTTATGGTGTGATTCACCATTAAAAATCACTGTAGTGTGGTGTTCAATTAATCCGTATCTTCCATGTTTGATGTTTTATATGCATGATCCAGCTGGTAATATATCTCAGCATCATACTGCTAAACCATCAACCCCTAGATTTAAAGTCCAGTCGGCACCAGCATAGTACAGGGGTAGAATTTTGCCATTCCTCTATGATAAAGGTGAAGTATGGGGACCATACGAATATGAAGCTGAATGTTCCATGATGAGGAAGGAAAATTTTCCAGCTGTTAATAAAAATATCCATCGTCCAAGATAAAATAAAATAAAATCGATAGAGGTAACCCCTATCTCTGGAGATAGGGGTTAGCTCTATCGACTGGGCCCAACAGAGGTTTTACCTGAAGACGGAGAAAGTTTCCCATCTCCGAAACATTGTGGTTTTTTATTTATTTTATTTTATTTAATCTTAGATGATGGATAATGTCCAGAGAACAATGCACCATTGTCACAAACCTTCAGAATTGTGTTAATGATACATCAATAAGTTTGTGTTATGAAGCATTAGGATGTCTTCTGAGACCTTGATCTGGTACATTCTTCACACCACATATTAGACAAGTGGCTGGTACAAACATCAGTAAACCAAATTTCAAAACAAATGAAAGAAGGGACCTTAAAACTAAAATAAGCTTATCTTCCAGTTACTTACCATCGACAATCCACTCAAGTCGGAATCCAGGGTAGGCTCTAGATGAACCTGTCACAAAGTGAACATACATATGATTCTTGGAAGAGTGGATGAGACCTGGTATTTCAGACCCGCACCGCCTGGGCATCAACACTGTGTCAGGGACTGCATTGTCTTCTCCTTCCTTTAACTGCAAACACAAATACATCAGCACATTTCATGTGTGAAGTGTACTTATGACGTTTCTACACTGAATGCATGTTAATATACTATCGCCTTTCACATAAATTCTTAAAACATTTTTAAGAACATAACTGTTTAACTTAAAACATCTTCTGGAGAGACCATACCTGTAACAGCAACACACTAAGCAGACACTTTGTATTAAACTAAAATAAAACTTCACATCTTCCCAGTCATTCGGGAATAACAAATCACTTGACAAAAATATGAAAACAGAAAACTTCACTGGAGGAGTGAGATGCGTGCATACTGACAAATATGCATCAACCACTAGCAGAAGGCAACTTTGAGAGACCTCATAAACCTTCCATTACTGAAGACTACAGTTGGCAAAAGGGATATATCGACAAAGGGGACAGAATGGCCAACAGATATTTAATTAATCAGAGAACATGAAAGTACACAAAGAAGTAATTTTCTCACCTGTTAAGTCTAACAATACTGAATAGTCATAACATTCTAAAATCCTGTGGTAATCAAACGGACTACAAAAAATTTTGTCGACTTTATTTAAACATGTTGGTAATGAGTTCAATCCAGCGTAAGCCAATCAAATACGCCATCTTCAAGACTGAAACACCAGACGCTGGCCAGCCGCAGGTTCACAAATGCTAGTGCTGTAAGTGTTCAGTGAAGAGGGACAGAATGACTACACAATTTCTGTGCCTGAAGTGTGAAGTCAGTTTGTGTATTTTCCACACAGGTAAAATTCTAAATCAAATTCTATTATGTGAGAAGAGCATTTACTAAAATACAATAACTACACCTTTTAATTTATATAGGCCTATTCTGTATTTAATTTAATTTAGGAATCCATTACCTATTTTGGTAAAAAAGAAAATTTGTACTATTAAAACATAGCACTATAGAATACTGCACCAAATTTTTTTAAGCACCTTTCACTATAATATTTTAGCACTAGTAGTTTCATAATACTACCGTAAAACCATTACTAGTTAAAACACGAAGTTAAATTCTGGATGGCACTCTGATAGTTTCAGTGTTAAAACACTCTATTCCCATATAATGAAGGTTAAAGTTAGTCCAGATGTCAATAACTTATGTACAAATGTAATACAGTCTTAAGAGTGAGATAAATATTACTAAGAACTGCGATTATGGAAATAATCTGGAGAGGAGAAAATCATGACCTCATTTTTAGTACTAAAAGCTGGAGAAAATTTCCAGTATACAATAAATCAAGTGTCTGTGCATAAAAGAATGAAAAAAATAAACTATTCTATGATCATCAAACAGAATAAAATTTTCTCGGGTGATCAGCCATGTCAAATGGCTGAACGATGAAAGTAACGTTTCAGGGACCATCTCTGTCCCAATCATCAGGGTTCTGATGTGACCAGAAGATGTGGTTGTCTCCCATATAAACCTGATCACATCAGAACCCTGATGATTGGGACAGAGATGGTCCCTGAAACGTCGGTTTCATCGTTCAACCATCTGACGCGACTGATCACCTGAGAAAATTATATAGAGTTACGTCACTGCAAAAGCTTCAAATCATATATCATCAAACAGCTTTCACATCACTACACTCAAATGCTCAGAAGAATTGTACCTCAACATAAGAATATTGACAATCACGTGTTTCTCCGAATTCATAGTACGACAACCAGCTGCTGTCTTCCAACTCGAAATGTGAGAACGTGACATTGATCTTGTTTCCTCTGGTTGCTGTAATGTTCCATGTGCAGTCCAATCCATCCGGGTAATCAGATGGGAAATTAGGACTCTCAATCACCCCACTGAATCCAGTTACAGCGGTGTTGCAATCTGTTGTAAGCAAATTCTGAATTAACTAACAAGTTAGAAATACGAATCAGTACCGAATGGAAATATAATGACATTAGTGTGAAATGCCTGTGGAAATTTGTGGCGTGGTCTTCGGATAGGATGTAACACAGTAAGAAAAGTTTAAAATTACATAAGTTAAGCTAGAAGGTATTATGCTGTGAATTTTTAATGCAAACCTAAATTTTAAACATGGCTTTATACTTGAATATTACATTTACTATAATTAATTTTATTTACTATGCATGGAATGTACAATTATACTCTCACAACACAAATTACGTATGATATTGTTGCCACATGACTTACAGCAAAATTGCAAGCCATCTTAAAATGTCAGTAGCAAGACCACTGTACAAGAAAGGTGACAAACTACAGGCCAATTTCACTATAAACACTTTTTCTAATGTACTGGAGATTATACACAGCAGATTAAGACATGAAGATTTCTATCTTCTGGGTTTGTTGTGCCATGTAGTCTGGTCGATGCTAACCAACGTTTCAGAGGTCATACTGCCTCTGTCATCAGGGCGCCCTGATGACGGAGGCAGTATGA